CCCTCCGGGCGCCCTCTGCTCGGGCGCCAGGTGAGGGCCGCCTCCTCGTAGGACGTTTTTCATCCTTAACTCCTGCCGTCTTTAACGGGCAGTTCTGTTCTGTTCTTTGGTGTCTTGCTTTACTTCGGGCTGCGTAAGGGGTTTCTGCGTGACGGTGCGGTTGAGCTTTGTGATCCAGCCCTTCGCGATCGCCTCTGTACTTGGTGGGTTTCCCAAGCCCTGCTCTAGGTGGTGGTGGGTATTCATGGACCATTTGTGTTCTTGACAAGCGTTTTAGGAGCTGAATGTTAGGCACCGTCCAGTCCATTGGTTTGTAGGTTCTTGAATAACGGGACATGTAATAGTGCAAATTAAATGAACCTACACTTTGCCTCGTTTTTAGGAAAAACATCTTCGAGTTATGTAAGGAGGATTTGGCTGTGTTAAAGAGACTCAATAAAACGCTTCAGAGCCCGTTTAGATCTTTTACTATTCAAGATGGCATTTAAGCTTATGCTTAAAGCCAAATGCTTACTGAAATCCTTAATTTCAAAGGCTGTTAAGACTTTAAGACTTGTCTTGAATAGCATGGCTTCTAGATGTAGTTAATTTTGTCTGGCCAAAGGTACCGTGTATATAGGGGCAGGTCTTGTAGTGCTTACTCCAGCTGACAGTAATTGAAGTTTTACCCGTTTGAGACTATGAAGAAAACAACTAAGCAGTAATAAACAATGGGGCTGAGTTTAATGTGTACACAAAATCTGCTCTCTGCCATGCTATCTGAACTTTGTCTTTATATGCAATTGACATGTCAGCCATCAGACAAAATTATGTCTTTTTCAAATATTGCTTCACAGCTGTTTATATGGTATTTATTGATTGATACATCAGCTAATGAGTCTTTGAAACTTTCATTTAGGGACTAGAACAAGGGAGGAAAAGAAAAGAAAACCTGGAGGTTTTCCTCAGTAATGCACTATATATGAAGTCCTGTGAAGCACAGAACATAGAAGATAAGTTGTTGATAACTGCTGCTATTTTTTGGCCACCTTACATCACTGTCTCTACATCTCTTACTCTCTGAATATCCCTGGGATGTCATCAAGAAAACCTCTGACCATTAACTTCTCTAGCTGATATATTGTAGGATCATCATTAAGTCCAGGAATGAAAATTCGATAAAAGTGAAATAAAACAAAAGAATGCATGCTTATCAAAGTCTGTTGAATAATGCTTTCGCACAGCAACATTGAAATCCGGTTCTTAGACATCAGGAAGGGCATTGTCTGTTTAACTTGGATGAAAAAATTTCAAACAAGCACCATGTGTCTCCTTATCTACTGGCCAATAACAGCAATTTTTATAGTGTTCCATGCAGCAACTTTTTATTTTCTTTTATTACTAACCTGGTCCTAGAAATACTGCTTTAAGCTATACCCTTTTTTTTAAATTATTATTATTTAATGGAGTACTAATGTTTTGAGGGTTTTTTTCCCAGATACTTGAGTTACTATTCATATTTCTAACCTTTCAGTGTACATATTTTGATTTTTCTTTTTTTTTTTTTTTTATGGGGTCTCTGTTGGGATTCCTCATCCTTTCTAATTAATTTAACAGCGTTTCAATACCAGTAGACAGTCACCTCTTTGCTAGAGGAGATACAGAAGACTGAAGCATTTTCTTCCTCCTAGTCACCTTGCACTATCCACAATCTCTCTCAAAACACTGTGTCTGTAGTAAGCAGCTCTTCACTTTCATGGGTCTCATATCCCTGATTTTATCCCAACTGTATGTATCAGGTCACAATGTGATAAGAGCTGCAAGAGAATGTTGGTTTATGATGAGCAGGGCATGACTAGCTACGCAATCTTCACTGGTAATTTCCTTCTCATTTACTCATCTCATTTTTTTCTGGACCAGTCATGTCCAAGCAAAAGAAAGGGAGAGTGGGGACTAAATCATTCTTCATGATTTTAAAATTTTGTATTTCATCCCCTGCTTCACAATGGATTTCCCAAATTAATAGAGTTCTATTCTAGTTGCAGAATTTTAAGTAATATAGCCAATGAGACCTGTCTCCTGATTTTTGTTTGAGACAGCAGGTGGCAATATAGGGTCAAGCATCTCTTCAAAAGTTTGGCTTTGTCATACAGAAAAACATCTTACAAGGACTGTAACACCTCCCCTCCCCCCTTTTTTTTTTGAAACAACAAGTTTCACAGTCCATTTGGATTTCTTTTATGTTAATATTTTATAAATAAAAATCAGTGTTTTGTTAGACAAGTGTGAAAACAGGTTCCTTCAAGAAGGTGATAGTAGTTGATCAAATGCTGCTCTCTGAAGCTGTAAATAAAACTAACTTTTAAATTATGTACCTGCCAATCTACTCTATAGCCTGCTCTTTTATCAAGATGTCCACAGAAAGGGTAAGGCTGTTTTTCTGTTCATAGTGAACCTTTCCTGAGGTGTCCAGGATGATACCAGTATTAAGATTGGAAAGTCTTAACACAAAGATGCAAATCAGAGTGGTTTCAGCACTTGAAAAAAAGCAGTTCTGTTCTATTTGTCTACAAGTTAAGACCATCTAGAAAACTTGTTCTACGCATACAGAACTGGAGGTTCTGGAATGGAATAGGGTTGAGGGGTACAATATGCAGGCTTCATAGATAATTAATCACAAGTCTGTTTCAAAAACCCACCCTAGTGTTAAAGAGCAATTCAGACTCTTAAAATCAGGTTGTTGGCTGTAGCATTATGGGGGAGAGGAATGCTTTCAAAGTGGCAGAATAAACCCATCCCCTGTATTTAATTCTGTTCTATATCTGATGCTGTTCGCAAATGAATATACATGAAGTGTTATGGAGAATTCATACATTACAGTAGATTACAGGAAGGCTATAACACAGTTTACTACTATATCACTATTTAGTTTTGATAGCTGCAGAAAATTGCTCACTTTTTTTGTTCAGGTCATACCAGTTCTACAGTAAATATTTAGAAAATCAGAAGTCAATCATGTGCCAATCA